TTTGGTTTTTACAATTCAGTCACCAAAATGTACGCGCTCAGAATATTCAATACGGAGGTTTTCTTCTTGATTTTTTTCGTTATTCAACAAAAATTCTTTAAATTTCTCATGTTTAAAAATATATTTTAAAAAATTTCGAATTCAAAGCATTTTACAATTTATTATTTAAAAAAAAAAAAAAAGTTTTATTCTTATTCTTTAGATCGAGTATAAATAAACACATACAAATATACACACACACGTTGTACAAGTAAGCTACAACTAAGTTCACATTAAAAATCAACTTATTTGGAAACCAACGATTGTTTTTTTTTTGCGAATTCAGGTGGAAGATTCATGAATTTTTCATTTTTTTTTTCCAATTTTTTCAACAAAGTAATAAAATTCTATCCATATTTGGAATATTTTATACTTATAAAATTTTAACGCTTTTCTTTGAAAATCTCTATGTTGTATGGTATGAGAAAGGAAATAAAAAATTAAAAATAGGTACATAGCATACACTAAGTACTATGTGGAGAGGAAGGAGCGAAAAGGGGCACGTGAATAAAATTAAAAAATTCCATAATTTTCAATTTATTTTAGTAATTTTTCAATTTATGATTTTTTTTATTTCCTCAAGAATTCCAGAATATCAAAAATTTTGTTACCTATATGGGAAGGAGTAATGTTTTATAATAAAAAAAACAGAAACTTGATTTTAAAATTAATTTAAATTTATTCAAAAATAAGAAGAAGAAAAAAGAATAAGTTGACAATTCTCCATTCAAGGATTCAAGACTGGAGTTAAGAGTTTTGAATTTATTGGACTTGTTTTTAAATAATTTTTTACAAATTACTTGTGTCTTATAAAAATTTAATTAACAGAGATCGAGACATTGTGTTTAAACAAAACTCACAAAAGCTAACTAGAGTTTCATATAGCTTCTATTTTTGAATTAAACTACAATTGAAATGATTCATTCCCCCGTGAATTCGTTTTCTTCAGAGCATTAATGTTGTCCTATATTATGATTTCTCTCATGTATTCATCTACTATCAATATTCGCCCATCACATTCATTGCAATTTTTCGAATTTGTGGCGATAATGTAAGAGGACCAAAATTAACTTAGCATTTCATTCAGTTTAGACAATAAGGTGGTCAAATTATAATCAAAAAATACGCCTCAAGAATATTTATTTTATGAAGTAAAATTCCATAATCTTAAATATCACTATACTGATTGAATTTTAATTAACACTATAAAAGATTTTCTTCTACATTGAAATAAAAAATTAAAGAATCTTTCTAATTTCAATTCTAAAGGATGTTTGTCCCTCTTATTGATACGGAACCATCAAAAATTTTTTTTCTATTAAAACTCATACAAATTGAATTCCTCGTAAAGTTTACTCATTAAAGAGTAAAACTTTCTATTATCAACAATTAAGAAATAAGATTTATTTATAATAATTTCTTAAAATTTTAATAATGCTCACGATAAGATCTTCCAATTCCATCTGAATTTTATATGGTTCTCAATATTTTTAATAAAAATTCCGCGTCTCCTTATTAAACATTCATAATATAAGTATTTGAAATTTTCACAAATTTGTTTTTACAAAAATAAATCAAAATAACTCGTACACGAAAGTAAAGATTTCTAGCAAGTTTTGAATGCCATTTCTTACAAATAATTCATGAATAATTTAATAATATTAATCAAAATCAAAATTATAGGCTTTTATTGCAAAATGATGTTCTTAATTAAATGATGGTATAACATCATCATTATTAATTAATGATTTTGTGACAAAAATAAATTCACGTTTTCATATAGATTTTAAAGAAAATTTCAATCATCTTCAATGAATGCTTTCCTTTTAAAAGGATTTTTAAAATAAACAAGTTTAAAAATTTTATTAAAATTTTCTGAATTAATTAATTATTATTTTAGTTTGTGAATTTTATTTTAGTTTTTATATAAAAAATAATTCTTCAAATTAATCCAGACGTTCAAATTGTATCCCATATTTCTTTCGGAAAATTTTTTCAATTTAAATTTCAATTGAATTTTCTTTTGCGGTTTGTTAATTTATTGATTTCGGAACTTTAAATGCTCATTTTTATTTGGAAAAAACAGTTTTTTTGGTTAAGTATTCAACTGTTTTGCTAAAGTATGCCTTATGAAGTGAATAAATTTGTGATTATCTAATAATATCAAAACTTTTTACAGAAATTCTAAAAACAAAAATTAGAAATTTGAGAATAGCTATAAAATTTTTCGGGATAACTTAAAAAATTTTACTTTCAAAAATTTTCTTTAATTTGTTTTTGCTAAATTTAATGAAGCAATTAGTCTGCTGCGTATGTTACAACAAAAGATAAATTTATTCTTAAAATTTTAATATCGCATACACTGTAAAAAATTTATCAGTAAAATTATTACAATAATTGAGCATATTATTGAATTGAGTAATTGATGTTAAGGTTAATGAAACTAACATTATTGCTTAGTGAATGAGTGAAAATATTTAGACAAAAGTAAATTTACCTCTACATTCGAGTAGTTCTGTGTTGTGATTACTTTATTAACACTGAAACACAAACTGTAAAATATCAACTATGTCCCAAATCGACCAAATTAAGTGGAAATTGTTTCGTTTATTATGGTAAAATTTAAACCTTTTTCTTCCAGTGTCACTCAATACAATGTTGTTTATTCAATCTTTAATTTTAAAGTTCAATATCAAGTATAGTATGGGACAAATTTTATAAACCCTACAAAAATTAATTGTAAAAATAACCAAAGATTTCATTTTCAAAAGAAATATTTGTAAATGAATGCGATTATCATAAAAACTTAAATTATTAAAATGATTGAAAGGTAAAAAAAATAAAATAATTCTTGTGGTTTATGGACCTTCATTTATTTGGCTCTAGCATTACTTGTAAGTAAATTTTTACTTTCTGGTTTGATTTTTTCATGTTTTAAACAGAATTTAATAATTCTTCGGCACTTTTCTCTTTTTAATAACCGATCACTTATTGTTTTTAATTCGATTTCTGTCTGTCCTTTAACAATTTTAAGAGTATTAAGAATAGATTTTTTTTTCTTCTTACTTAATTAAATATTCTGAACGTGCACTTTGAATATTACAATATATTGAATGTTGGGTCAACAATTTTAAATTAATGTTTTTTTTTCTTGCTTTTTTTTTTTTGAATTTTTAATATTCCAATATAAAGTGACAATAAAAAAAATATTGTTTAGTTTTAACAAAAAGAATTATAGAATTATTTGAATTATTTTGTTTTATTTGTACGGAGTGTAGCAGGAAAATGCGTGGATTACAATATTTAAAGATCAGTGAAGAAATAGCTTCCTATATTATGTTAATTTGTAGGAAAATTTTAGATTACACGGAATTGGTTTGCATGGAATCTGAAAGAGTGTAGTTCATCGAATACAAAAACCGGAGTTTACCTCTAATGAGTATAGGCTCTTTTAAGTTCATACAAATTGAAAGCTCAGAAATTTTTCAAAAAATTTTCAAAATCAAAAACACTTATAAAATCTAATTAATTTTCTGAATAATATTTAGCAGAGCTGATAAAAAATAAGACTAACATTCAATTCGCCATAATATTCAGATACACAATTCAGCATTTAAATCAGTTTTCCAATATCTGAGTACCACTCGTTATAGACTGGACAATATGATATTAATTGTAATTTGCATACCAGGAGTACTAGATTCGATATTTGGGCTAATCTTTAGACTAAGTCACAGCAGCTATGAAAACTTATTGTATAATCCTCACGTAATTACAGATTATTCAAGCGTCACCTCCCACAAGTCAGAAATTGCCTCCACATATGATGAACAAATCGCCTCCTGGATAAAACTTCACAAAAACAGAGAATATACTCAGCCCTTTCATCTTCATCATGGCAAAATCTACACAAACGGTCCCAAGATTATCCCAAATTGTTCAAGGGATATAATTCATCAAAAAGTTTATTGTTGGCGTTAAGTAATTTTTCTCTTAGCATCCTAAGAGCTTATCGATTGTACTGTGTTCAAAGTACTTAAAAATACAGACCTTAAAAATATAAACACACAAATTTATATTAATTTTATAATTTTTTAATGGTTTTTATTAAATGATCACTACTTTTTTTTTGTTTAGGTACACGAGTATTGTTCAGAACTCACCTGAATTAATTAATTTTGGTTTAAAATGCTGATTAAAATGCTAACATTTTCATTTTACATACCTAACTTATTTTTATAGCCCCTTTGTACATTATGTACATATTTTTATCAATATTGACGGATTTATTAAGAATTAAGGTCAATATTTTATAGGGAAATAAAAAATTACCCAATGCCATTTGGAATATTTAATTAATTTAATAGCATTAAATATAATATGTATGTAGGTAACACTAAATAACTATGTAAATGTTTAAAATATATGTAACCAGGTATGTATGTGAATAAAAAAAATTATTGATTGATTGGATTTTTAGCGACAGGATTTAATAAATTTTGTATTCATGATCATGTCATATACAAAGAAAAATATCAGGAACACTTTAAAATGTTTAAACACAACAAGAAAATAAAATAATAAGTAAGAAATTAAATATATGTTAGGGTCTTTATTTTTAGCAATATGATTAAGTATATAAGTATATTACTTAATCACCACGAAATTTTTAAATCTTATTCTCGAATGATTCAAGATAAATATACTAAGATGAATAAAAGGCAGTTACGAATTCATCTTATATTGTAATGAATATGGTCTATGGCAGCACCCGGCAAACTATGACCCGCGGGTCACGGAGTGACCCGAAGCATGATTTTATGTTACCCGCTTCGAGTTTTTAAAGTAACTTTCCAAATCTATGTAAGAAAAATAACAAAAAATTGAAAAAAAATTGTTTGCTGTTGCACTCTGAAGTTCGTTGGTTAAGCAGAGGGAAGGTACTTATAATAGATTTATAGATTGCTTTGATGCAATACAAATATTTCTGGTTGAAATCGGAGAAAATTATCCCGAACTTGATGATAAGAAATGGTTCTTAAAACTTTTGTTCTTAACGGATATAATGAACCATTATAATGAATTCAACAAACGACTTCAAGGTAACGGTCATACAATTTTAAAATTATTTGAAGAATGGAAGAGTTTTTGCTCAAAAATAGTTTTATTTGAAACAGATGTAAAAACTCGTAAGTTTAACTATTTCTTACATCTTAAAAGTCAAGAAGAAAAAGGCACTATTGATGATTCCGACGTAAAGACATTTGAGTCTTATATTAATAGCATGAAAGACGAATTTGAAAATAGATTTCAAACTTTGAAAACGCACGGCCCAATGTTTACGTTTATAACGAAGCCGGATGTAGTTGATGAAACTATTTTAGAATTACAATATTTTGAGTTCCTCGAAATCACCAATTTCAGCTTAGAACTGATTGATTTGAAAAGTTTCACTTTATGGACTGATAAATTTGAAACTTTACGTCGCGATTTAGAAAAAACTGAAGACAATCATCTTGATATAATATCCACATGCTGGGCATCTCTTCCAACAAAGTTTACATGCCTAAAAAAAGTTGCATTTGCTCTTTTATCTGCATTTGGATCAAGTTATAATTGTGAACAAACATTTTCACAAATGAAGTATATATTAAATAAAAACAGGAGTAGTTTGACTACGGAGCATTCTGATGAATGTGTCCGACTTAAGGTATCAACATATGAACCAAACTTGTCCAAATTAACTGCAACAGCACAGCATCATGGAAGTCACTGATTTTGAACTTATAATATTAAATATTGGTTTTGTTATTTTTTGATTTATTTTTATTATATGTGTATTGAATTTATTTCTGTTATGTTTCTATTTATTTTAATATATAATAAATGAATTAACTTTTCGTTTAACTATTCTTTTTAATTGCTTTTTTATAAAATTGCCGCTGACCCGCTATGAGTTTAAAAAAATCTGATTTTTGACCAATTTTACCCACGACCAAAAAAGTTTGCCGACCACTGGTCTATGGTGTTATTGGTGTTAAGATTCAACACCTCATTTTTCAATTCGTTAATCTGATTCCGGGCAAACCCTTTGAGTTTTAAGAAATATATGAAGCAATAGCGCTGGAAGATGTGAACTGTTATTGATTTTAAGATTTCAAATTTTAAGAAATTATAATTGCCCTATTACACATTACGGTCTTTCAAAATTTTTTCTAATACCTTACAAACCCAGCCTATTTTTAAGCAACTTCAAAAATCAATCAAAACCATCTACACCATAAAGATCGTTTAATAGTAGTGCTTATTTTAAAATTTATTATAAGTAATAAATAACTAAAAATTAAAATGAAGCGCAATTTAAACAAAATATCCGCTAATTTAAAACTATTGCTCTTATATCTTGAAATCAACTTAAAATTTACTCATCACTTAATTGTTAAAAAAAATAACATATTTCATAAATTTATTTCGTATTTGTTTACTTTTGACATACACAATTGTTACTAATTTCTAACACAAGAGTTCTCCCCCTCTGTACTGAAATTTTTAATTTCTAAATCATATTCAAAGCACTCTATAGAAATCAAAACAAAGTGAGCAATATTATCAATTACAAACTCATGCATATTTTAAATTTGAACAAATTCTGCATACAGAAAAAAAAAAACAACCTAATCCATAATCTCCTCTCAAATCTAATGATTTGAAGGTGACATCCAATTAAAATAACTTCAACCTCATAAAAATTTCAAATAATTTTTTTTTCCTAAAAAAAAAACAAAGACCGAACCAAATTTTGTTATAAATTGAAAAATTAAAACAATAAAGCAAAAAACTAATTCAAAATTATTTAAATTTTAAATTAATTTCTCAACAGCATGCTCTTCTCTAATCACTCCCTTAAAAATTGTGAAAATACTCAATCATAATGACAGATACAAGTATCATTAGAGCGGAGCGGTTTTCCATCTCATATTTTCTTTTTTGCTCTTGTATTTTTTTTTCTCTTTTTTTTTTCTTTGCTTTGTTTTAACTTCTTTCCCAGCATGCCACTCGTTTACCTGCCGATTGATTTGATGTTTATTGAAAAGACACTTTAATGTTATGCCAATGATTTTTGTTGTAGCAGGGGGAGAGGGAAAGGAAAGTGGTAACCGCAACTTTAAAACGATTATAACGTTTTATAAAATCGATAAGCAGTTTTTTTTTTTTTGTTAAATTATTTATTTTATGATAAATTGGCACTTTATTAAAGCAACACAATCAAAAGAAATCACAATAAAAATAAAAATAATAAGAAAATATGCAAAAAAAAAAAATTTCTAATCGTTTCTGACAAAGCAAATTTATTAGAAAACAGAAAATCACAAAAAAATCGAAAGTCATATTAATTGAGGAGCTTCGAATATCTAAACTTAATGATTTGTAAGAAAAAAAAAATATTAATAAATCACGAATTGGTTTTACTTGATTTAGAGTTTTGGAGCTCTTTTTCATAGGTTCATCATCATCATAATCATTAACATCAACAACATCAACAACATAATCATCAGCCTCATAAGCCTCAAAACAATATTGTTTTGATTTTTATTTTTTAAATTCTTCTCGACTGTGATTTGTTAATTCAAAATGATTTTAAGATTTATTACCATTAAAATCACTTGAAAATTAATTGAATCAAATCAATTCTCTTTAATAAATTTCATAGTATAAGAGACGTATACCATCCATACTCCTGCCTCTTCACTTCTCGTCACAATGCCAGTGTTTCACGCTTTCAATTATAATAAAGAATTTAATTTGGTAATTTAAATTTTTATAAAACAAAAAAAAAACTAAGAGAAATGTGTCATATTTAAAATGAAAATATTAAATGATTACTTTTAAGACAATAAGAGGGATCGGTTCATATAGAAGTGCAAAGTTCAATTTTAACTCATTTAATTCAAATATTTAAAATTAACGTGATGCCATACTGGAGTTTTTTAAATTCATTATTTTATTAATTTTAATAAAATATTTTTAAATAATATCATGTTACAAAAATTATAAATATTTTGAGTCTTTAAGTTTATAAACTTCATTTTATAGGAATTTTGTGAAAAATTTTAATATACACAAATGTAGCTATTTAAAAGGATTCATTGACCTTTTACACATTTGGAATTTTACAGGTACTTATACTAAATTTCCAATGATTCACCGTCGTGATGAAGTTTAATCTTTTGAAAATTAAGAAGTTTCGTTCCTTTTCCAAAATGCGTAATAGAAGTAAAAATATTTAACTTAAATAATAAAAAATTTGCAAGAAAAATATGTTTGATACAGTTTGGATTAGTCAGTCTATGCTAGGTCAGCTTTGATAGATAAAGAAAAGACGTTTACTTAGGAAAGACGAAGTCAATTGTGACATTTTTCTATAATTGAAAAGATATACTTAGACTATTTTATAAAAGGAGTTGAAATCCGTTGGAGAATGGAATCCGTTCAGAGGAGAATTCGCCGTTTCGCATTGCGTGGTTTAGATGGATCCGATCCTCTCAAGTTGCTGCCGTATGAAATTAATCTATTTTTGTAAAACTTCTAAAAGTTGTGCTCGTGTAGTATAATCGCTGACGTGGTTTTTATTCAACATTTTTGTTTCGGGGATCTCATTGTTTCACTATTATGATTGGATCATCGCTATGAATCAGAATAAATTTCTCAAACTTTATCGTTTTACTTTATGCAATTACTTAAAATTTAATTAAATAAAGTATTTTCTTTTTTTTTTGATTACTTTTTAAATATACCCGTATTTTTTTAGCTACTTTAATTTCTCTTTAAATATTATGCATTTAATTAAATGCAATTTATTTAAAATGCAAAACAACAAGAATTAAATTTAGAAATTTGTAAAATTTTTACAAAATAAAGAGAAAAGATAAAAAATCTTTTTCAAAATTATTCTAAATTTTTAAATCCTTAAAACTGGGTAATTTATCTATTACATTCTCCTCAATCAGTCATTCAACTTTAAAAAACAACAATCCGAAAAACATTCTGAAATTTTTCATCCCTCTTCAACAACAACAAGAAAAACTTGACTTCTTTAATTAATTACCATCTGGTGAATCACTATAGTTTTACTAAAATATTTGAAAATAAAAAAAAAGCAAAAATTTAGAGAAGAAATAAAAAATATCATAAAAAAAAAATCTTTTCATCTCAATTGATGTTGATGTCTAGTTCAAATTCGGTCCAGTCTCTCTCTTAATTTAACAAATATTACAATTTTTTTTTATTTAAATAATGTTCCGATATTAATTGTAAAAAATGATGTTGCAATAGCTTTATAGGATGATCTCGTTTTTCTCTCTAATCTCCTTTTTGGGAGATGAATATATGTATTTACAGGCGGATCAAATTTGAAAGCGTTTGGAAAAGAAAATATACAGAATGACATCAGATTCCTTAAAATAACAAGAGAATTCTAATTGGTGGCGATCTCTATCCGAAACAGAGACTCGAATAAACAGATTGTAATAAAATATTGATAACGAATATTGCTATTATTCTGTTAAATCCGGATACTCTGATAAATTTTCTAACCTAAATATTTACAAACATATGTAAAATTTTGAATGCTTAAAAATTGAAAAAAAAGATCAATAAAAGAACTGTTGGCTGTAAAAGAAAATAAATTTCGACCAAGAAATGATTCATAATTCTTGATTTAGAAAAAAATATTAACTAAAAAAATTATTATTTAAAAATATTAATTCTCCTAATGAGATCTGAAAAAACTCCAAAATTAATTAGAACTTTCGATTCTGCTTTGATTCAGTAGTCCGTTCGTCCGATCACTTAAGAACTGATCAAGCAAATACCACCAAACTTTCACAAACAGTTGCCTTTCTGAACAAATTCAAACAACGAATTCAAATAGCTGCCATAATACTCTAAAAGCTAATTTTAATTTAAAAAAATTTCAAAAATTAGTTTTTATAGTCAGATTGTTATGATATTATGAACGAACGAACACAAACTTATCGTAATTTAAAATTTCTTTAATACCAATTTGTAAAACACAACGAAACGAACAAAAATGCTAGCAAAATTAAACCTACGCACACATATACTCGTAATCAGTTATGTATACTTAGTTTGCTGGACAAAAAAAATTTTTGTACTACAATTGAATATTTTGACCCTTTACAAAAAAATTTCTGACCATACAGAATTTGAAATAAAAAATCTAAAATATTCAAAAGAGAAAAATCAAAACTTATGAAGCAAATAAAATGACAATAAAGACGGCGACGATGACAGGAAGCGTACATATATAATGTATATTATACCACTGAAGAGATCTTTCATTTCATCCGGTTCATACCATCATAAACATTATAATAATATTTAACCATGTTCAAACACACTATTTAATGCAGCATGAATGGGCAATGGGCATGAAAATGAAAATATCCTATGCAACTTTAATAAAATAAAAAATCTCTTGATTCTCTTGAGTATTTTTAAATAAGTATACGTATTTGCAATTTATTTTTCTTTTAAAATTCTCCAGGGAGAAATTTCACAAAAGAAAAAAAAAACAAACAAACTGCCCAGAACAGTTTTATGCTACAACACTATTAATAGTAATTTCACATTCAATATCTTTATTATAAAGATTTGATGCAATAAAAAAAATTTAGCGATTAAAATTAAAATATAAAAATAATTTTGTTTTTCTTTTGTTGTTATTATTGTTTTTATATTCATGCTACTAAAATT